GAGTGTCGGGGTGCTGGGCCCTGCACCCACACACGTGTCTCACGCTCACGAGTCCCACCAGCCCCCACCAGCTCAGGGTGGGGGGGGACCAGTCCCGTCCCCCTCCCCACAGTGGGCAGGGCTGCCCCCAAACTGCAGGGCTGCCCCCAAACTGCTCGGTGGGGCACCAGCTCTTTGCTCCACCCTCACCGTGGCTGCCAAATCCTGCAAAACCCAAGAGCTGGAGACCTCGTGGTGCTGGGAAGCTCCGGAGGGATGGAGCTGGGATGGAGCTGGGATCCCTCTGGCACACAGTGAGCTGGAGCCCGGAGCCATCCCGGTCCCACCAGGGAAAGCTTCTCGTATCATGTGAGTGCCACCTGCCCCGCTAAGGTTTTACTCTGAACTTAAATAGCTGCTAGAAGACCCTGGGGTGAGGGTGGGTGCTGTGAGCCCAGTCTGGGTGCTGTAAGACCAGTCTGAGCCGTAGGTGGTTTCGGTACCACGTTGGGCAGACGCTGTTCCACGTGGTACAGGTGGTGCTGGGCTACATGGTGATGCTGGCCGTCATGTCCTACAACGCCTGGATCTTCCTGGGGGCCATCGCGGGCTCCACTCTGGGCTACTTCGTGGTGTACCCCCTGCTCGGTCGGGGCTAGGTGACACCCCCCGGCCATCCTCCCCGGCATGGTGGCCTTCACACCTCCCTCCACTTGGTCTGGAATAGCTGCTGTCACTTCTGCTGGGTCTGTCCTTGTCCCCGTGCTGTGCAGGACACAGCAACCCCAGGGACCTGCTGCGGGGACCCCTCAGAGCTGGGGGTCCCGTGGCCAGCACCCTGCCACGCTGCCACCTTCCTTCCCTCAGCTTGGTGGCTGTCCCCCGGCTCTCAGGGAGCTTTAGGCTGGGTGATGACAGTGTGTGTGTGTGTTTTGAGGGGGGGGGTGTTGCTGGGCATCTCCATCCCCCACCCAATTTTTAGCGGGGGGGTTCGTTCTGGCTGGAAGAGGAATGGTCCAGGGAAGGGGATATGCTGGGGACATCCCAGAGCTGCCCTGCACCGAGCATCTTCTCACATAGTGCCTTCTGGGGATAACACGGGGGGGTGGTCAGGTCCTGTTGTCCCCCCAACCCACCCCCCCTCTCCTCTGCAGTGCTTCAGGGATGGGGTGGGGGCACCCCCGTGCCGAGGGGAAGCTGTGGGTGCCTCTTGCTGCTTCCTCGGGACACCCCTTTTAATAAAACCATCTCCATCATCTCAAGTCCTGGCTTGTGTTGGCCCTGGGGGTGTGACACCCCCTCCCGTCACAGCGGGAGGGGGGGACCCCCAGCCTTACCCCTCCCCAGCACAGCCTTGGGTGGGGGGGTGGGGGGCGGTTCAGGAATAAGGACAGTCTCCTCTGGCTTTAAATAAAGCTTTTCCATTTTATTAATTATTATAAGCGTATTTTTTAAACATTTGTATAACTTTCTCAATAAAATATCCTGGAAGAAGACAGGGTTTAAGTTCCCAAAGCAAGGCACTTTGGGGGGGGGGGGGGGTGGCAGGAGCCCAGCCTGGGTGCTGTAAGACCAGTCTCGGTGCCATGAGCCCAGTCTGGGTGCTAGGACCCCAGCTTGAGTGCCATGAGCCCAGTCTGGGTGCTGTAAGACCAGTCTGAGTGCCATGAGCCCAGTCTGGGTGCTGGAAGACCAGTCTGGGTGCCGGGACCCCAGCCTGGATGCTGGGACCCCAGTTTGGGTGCTCTAAGACCAGTCTGGGTGCCGTGAGCCCGGTCTAGGTGCTGTAAGACCAGTCTGGGTGCTGGGACCCCAACCTGAGTGCCATGAGCCCAGTCTGGGTGCTGTAAGACCAGTCTGGGTGCCATGAGCCCAGTCTGGATGCTGGGACCCCAGTCTGAGTGCCATGAGCCCAGCCTGGGTGCTGTAAGACCAGTTTGGGGGCTATAAGACCAGTTTGGGGGCTATAAGACCAGTTTGGGTGCCGGGACCCCAGCCTGAGTGCCATGAGCCCAGTGCTGTAAGACCAGTCTGGGCACTGTAAGCCCAGTCTGGGTGCCATGAGCCCAGTCTGGGTGCCAGGACCCCAGTCTATCCCAGTTCTTGCCCCCCTGGCAGCAGTTGGAGCCACCCAGCGTTGCCATCTCCTGGCTGTGCCCCTGGCCCACCATCACGGTTTCCATCATCCCCCTCCCACCCCACCGTGGTCCCAGCTCCCACTGGCATCCTGGAGTGGGACTGGGGTGGGCAGGCTCCCAGGACACCCCCCCCACCCCACCCCCCATCCTAGG